ACCGGACTAGCTTCTTTGCTTACCTGGGATTGGCTTACAGGATTTACCGAGGACCTGAAATGAAAGTGAGCAAGTAATTTCTGAGCGCCTGTGATGTGCAGGAATTAGAGTAGGTGCTACATTAAGGGGTATTAGCACTGGACCTCTATCAGAGAACTTGGCCTCAAAAAGCAGCCCTATCATGGCCAAACCTATACCATACCCCAATTCTATGGTCCTACATTCTACACTCTTAGGCTGTTTTTTTTTTTCTCTCACCCTTTCTGTCTGTCTGTCTGTCTGTCTCTCTCTCTCTCTCTCTCTCTCTCTCTCTCTCTCTCTCTCTTTCTCTTTCTTTTAACATAGTCTCAAGTNGCAGCCCTATCATGGCCAAACCTATACCATACCCCAATTCTATGGTCCTACATTCTACACTCTTAGGCTGTTTTTTTTTTTTCTCTCACCCTTTCTTTCTGTCTCTCTCTCTCTCTCTCTGTCTCTGTCTCTCTCTCTCTCTCTCTCTCTCTCTCTCTCTCTCTCTCTCTCTCTCTCTCTCTTTTAACATAGTCTCAAGTAGCCCAAGATGGCCTTCAACTATAGCTGAAGATGATCCTGAACCTGATTCTGATCCTCCAGCCTCTACCTCCCAAGTGCTGGGACTGTATGCATGTGACACCATGCCTGGCTCATGCAGTGTTGGGGATGTAACCCAGGTCTTCATGCAGGCTAAGCAAGCTCTACCAACTGAGCTACATCCTTAGGCCTGTAGGATTGTTTCTTTCTTATTTAAATCAAAGACTCGAGGAAAGGCCCCTTAGTCTTATCCACACAATTTTGAGCCGCCTCTCATCTCACCCTGAGATTTCACCTGAGTTGGATAGTTGACAAACTGTAGTGCTGAGTTGCTGGAAACCATGGCACCCACATAGGAGACAGAGCAGGCAGCATAGAGCCAGGTCCGAGTACGATCCACCCTGGCAGTGTCAAAAAACTGGATCACTGGGAGAAGACAAAAATAAAACAAAAACAAACAAAACATACAAGAGAAACCCGGTGGGGCAAGGATGGACCATTAAGCAAAAGTTGAGGCCATATGAAAGGAACTTGTCTGTCAAGCAAGACAGCTATTTCTATCTTCTTAAGCTGGGAAATCTCTGAAAATTATTCATCTCTCCAGTTTCCCTTAAGCTTAACAAGACCATATGCACAGTGGAGACAGGGATTCACTGAATCCCTAGAAAGGATAGCTTAACTCTGCCAATAGGTTTCAAGGAACAAAGACATGTTTGAAGCTGTCATACAAAGCAAAGTCAAAGGGATAAAGGGTAAAATGTTCTAAGTATTTTCAGTGGGGATTTAGAACACAGATGACCCAGTCATTTCTGACTTAAAAGTTGGTATAATTTAGAGACATAACTTTTTTTTTGAGATCTAATATTTTAATCTCATTTCACAGTCATTAGTTTTACAGACTGCAGGGAGGCTGTTTAAACACTCCAAGAATATGGAGGTAGGGAAAACTTAGATTTTAAAGATGAATCCACGTCTAATACCCAGAATGTGGGGAAAAGGAGGGTGCACCGAACAAATTACTATGAGGTACTCACAGATCTTGGCAAACATAGCATTGATCACACACTGGATGAAAACCAAAGTTAAGGCGAAGGTGAACGTCTCCTGTTTGGGTCCTTCCCCATACTTTCCTCTTGTTCTAAGATGAAATGCAAGAAAAAGAGACAGGCGAAATCAGTATGTGTCACTCGGTGTCATCAAGTATTCTCAGAGCCACTGATGGTTTTGGAAATGTCATGCTTTTGTGGATGCAGCGAGAGTTGGTAAGAATCGTTGAGTTTATTTACCCAAAGGGACCGATTTGATTTAAGCCTAGAAACTAGATAGGCCAACCTACTGATATCATAAGCTAAGGAAAGGATATCCGTAAAGAATTACAGGTAGGGGCAACAAGGAAAGTCAGATAGCGGGATAAAAGTATCCCCAGTAGGAAAGCGAGACCGAGAGCAAAAAGATTAGCGGTCTGCAAGCACCTGAGCGTTCAATAAAAGACCTGGGTCTCAGGTCACGAACACTCTTGTAATCAATAAAGTCAAAAAACATCTAAAGGAAGAAGAAGAATCACATCCCAAAACTCCAGAGGCCGTCCCTTTAATTTTAGAATTACAAGGATGCTCAGCCGCCAATGCATAATAGCAGAGTGCAAAAAGAGGTCAGAGGGCCGAGCCGGAAAAGAGGAAAACCTATACCAGACACAGGAAGCCTGAGGGCAGGGCCGTAAAGTGGACGGTGGGTACTGGACGCCGGCCCTGGCTGGAGGCTATTAGCAGTCCTGCCCCCCAAGGGTGCACTCACATCTTCTCCTGTAGGATCCCATAGTAGAAATAGCAGACAAAGACACCCAGGAAGCAGAGCGGCAGGCGCAGCCGGTCAGGCACCAGGGATCTGCTCGCGGCCATGAGACGCACCGACGAGTCAGCCGGAGACCCGCTCAGAGCAGGTGACGGTAGCGGCGGCGAAGGCGAAAGCTCCAGGCGGACATCGCCGGCCGGCGGCAGGGGCCTCATAGGAGCTGCGTGCGACCGCTGCCTCGTAGGACTCAGGAGCCACCTCCAGAACTGCCAGCTCACAGCTGCCGAGAGGAAAATACCTACCGCTCCGGCAGCAACATTCTAGGAAAGAAGGCAGGTCTTGAAACCTTGACTCCATTCCTGGTGGCCGAGAAAGCCCGCCATATCGAGGTTAATACCTCATCCCCTAGATTTTCCGATCAGGCAACGCCGAGGACACCTACAACCTGCAGCTTGGCGGGGAGGCCTAGGCGATAACCCGGCGTATAGTGATGACGTATAAGTATGTGGACGTTATCAATTGGCTATGCGGAGTGAAAATAGACGGATGGGCGGAGAAAGAGGCGGTGAGGCCAGGAAAGTGAATCAAAAGCCTTGTTTTGCGGTCAGCTGTCAGGCCTCAGCTGGGTCCTAATGCCAAGATCTCTTTATAGAGCCGTAGCGCCCTCTAGCCGCTGCCCAGCGTCAGCGACTCCAACCCGGTCTGCGGGGCATTCAAGGCCTGGCCGAGGGATGTGGGTCTTCTGACACTTCACCAGGCTTCCAAGGCAGGAGGCCCGTGGGGCAGGCTCCGTGATCAATCAGGGCTCATGTCACTTAAAGGCAGCACAGCAGTGTTACTTAAATTCAGAGCCAGTTTTCTCACTCTGTAAACTAGGGGTAATTAGTAATAACCACCCTGTCACCCTTTGAATGCTCTGAGGATTAAATGAGCTACGGTTTACCAAAGTGTTTTTTAAACTGTAAAGTACTCTATGCAAGTTTGAGGTATTATTAGTCTTCACAAATTCTCAAATCCAATCGTATTTCCTCACCTCTTGGAGGTGCAAACTTCAAGTTTATTGAATTTTTTTTTTTTAAAGACAAGATCTCGTGTAGTTCAGGCTGTCCTCGAACTTGCTATGTAGGAGAATGACCTCAAACTCACAATCCTTTCTTCTCCATCACCCAAGTACTGAAGTGAATTTTTTTCAAGGACTTCCAGCTCTCCAATGAAGCAACTCCTCAGATACACACCCCTTCCCATTATTGGGATAGTCCTTGGACTCCTCCCCAATCCAATTCTGCTCAACCAGAATTGCCAAAGCAAGACTAACCACAGAGACCCAAACCCCCCACCTATTACCGGTCCAATTCACAGGCAGCCATGAACCTCCGGTCTGCTTTTCTCTTTTAGCAGCCTGGCTCCTTTGGCGCAGCTTCAGGCAAAGGAAGGAAAGGCCAGGCAGCACCACACCCATCACTGGGGACCTGACTCACTAAGGCTTTGGGGAGAAGCCAGACATCTTTCAGGGCTAGAAGGACTAAGAGAAGATAGGGTCTGTCCCTTGCCTAGTGTCTCCATTTGGGAAGAGGAATTCCCACACATTTACTCTTGCCTTTTGGCTCACTGCCGAATCAGCAGACACTTCTAGGGAACCAAACTGTAACTGGGTGAGTCTTGGGTTCCATTTCTGTCTCTTTAATTTACCACCTGGGACCTCAAACAATTCACTTGACCTGGGTTGAGTTCCCCGGAAGAAATCATGGCAATATAACCAGCAGGAGAGCTCTAGAAAGCACAAGCTGTGGAGAGAAGTGATCAGGGTTCCAATTTGTATTCCCCAACTTGGTATGGTCTTTTTGTAAAAAGTTATTCAACCTTTTTTACCTCCCTTCACTCACAGAGTGGCGCTTCTATTTATTTCTCTCATCTAACAGTGTCATACTTCCAATGACATTTCAGTTAAAGCTCCTAACTTGGTAGGTGGTGATTACCAAACCAATGGATAGTAGTTGGGAGAGCCTGGCCTAGGGGTCTGTCCTGAGGTCTTCTGAGATAGATATAACTGCACCCATTAGGGTAAACTTTCCACCCAATACAATGTGGATGCCCTTTGCTGATACAGAATGCTGGCATGGCAATCCCTGCTTTCCTCAAGTGTCTGGGGCTCTTACAGTGCAGCCCTTAGAGGCTATGGAAGGACAAGCACGGTTTCTGTGTCCCATCCAAGGCTGCACACTATGCCTTGGGTACTCACGGAGACATATCATGGAAGCTAAAACCTTAACGCTGTCTTAGCTGCACGCCATTCCCTGGTCTCGTTTTCCTGCCAGAGAACCTGCAATGCCAAGCTATCTCCCTTTAGTTGCCCTTGTGTTCTTGCTTACGTCCACTGGCCTCAGGAGCCTTTTCAGACTCTCGTCAGCCCCCTTCCTTAGTGAAGGAAGGCTTCCCGTATCACTTTCAGGACACACCAAGCTCTTCATTCTAGACAAGACTTCATGTGTCTCCCATGAGTGTGTCTTTGTGAAGACTCTAGCAAAGCCTATCCTTACAGCAAGTAGACCATGATGTGTTAAACAGGGGCTCCTTCTCTTGAAGACCAGTTAGAGTGACATACAGCGCCTTCCGTTCCGGCACACCCCTCCCATTCCAGGCATTCAGAAAACCCAAACTGCTGGAGTACTTATTTATTTGGTCTATTAACATCAAGATCTGCAAAAAACAACTTCTAAATACAAGATAAGAAAACTTGAACATTAACATTCTTCAATTTTGTGTAAGCTCTGCAGTACAGAAAATATACAAACTTCAAATAGCTGCAAAAATAGTGTCTTTGGGAGAAAATAGAGTTTCTACATCGATACAAGAAAAATAGGCATTTTTCTAATCCACCCCAACCCTGGGGCAGGTGGAGGGTATGGAGCCACCATGTGCCACCTGCAGGAATGCCAGCTCTCCCTCTTCCCACTATCCACTTGGGGCTGGGATGCTGCTTAAGACAATCTTTAGTCAGGGTAAAAGTGAGATGAAAATGCCACTTGGGAAATCTCATGGTCCCCCTGCCAACAGCTGAATTGGTCAAGTGTTCTGGCCCTGAGGACCACTTTGGTCAGCTCCTCTAGGAGGGAGGTGTCGGGTCTGATCTCCTCTGTCTCTAGAGGTGGGGCTGTAAGGAGTCTGTGGCATCTCCCTCTCTCACTCACAGACAGCTTGTTCCACAACAAGAGCCTTTCGTCAGTCATCTGAACGCACACCCTGGGCTAGAAGACTCAAGACCTCCTAGCAAGTGAGGGAAGCCGCAGGTACACAAGTGTAAGTTGTGAGCTGCCTAGCTGCTAGTGGAGAAGGTAAGTCTCCTCCCTTTGGAGGGGCTGACGTCCACCAAAGGACGTGGGGCTTTGACACAATAAATGAAAGTGCTCAAAGGCCAAGAGGGAAGGGCTCCTCCATCCCCAGCTTGGGAAGCTAATGAGGAGCTTGCCACCAAGGCACTGGTCTCCATGATAAAAGTGTGTGCAGGGGTCGGGGGCTCAGACTACCAAGGAGCTCTGGAAAAGCACGGACTCTTCTGATGGTGGGGTGCGCTGCCATGGCTCAAATGGCAGTGAGGAGGCCTTGGAAGCTTCTGGATCCTTCCGAGGTGGTGCCCTGGGACTGGCAGGAGGAAGAGGAGAGCCAGGGCTGGAAGGGCAGTTCCGGAAGATGAAGCCCATGCTGGGGAAGAGGGGCTTGATCAAGCTGACAGGGCAGAAGGCTGAGCCAGTTGGGTTGAAATGGACTTTGTTCTTATCAGGACAGGAAGTCAAGAAGGCCAAGTCAGGACCTGGGGACCTGAAGGATGGAGAGAGACACAGACACATAAGTACACAGGAAAACAGTCAGTGAAAGAAGGGGGACTCTGCTTCGGAAGGGCACCCTGGGAGCTGGGTCCCTGTTCAGAGAGGACAGTAACCTCAACAAAATCTGAAAAGCTCTGCCACTTTTCAGGGCCCTCAGGGCTTATTGATGCTGTAGTGGGGTTGAATAATTTCCTGTTGCAGGGACCACGGTAGAGAGGCACTGCCGTGCATGTCACAGGACATTTAACAGCATGCCAGTACCAACCAGACATCAGCAAGATCATGTCCCCTTCCTTTATGACAACTAAAAATGCATCTAGGGCTAGGGGTGAATGTGCAAGGCCTGGGTTCTATTCCCCAATATAGCAATCTATACATATAAGGCATTTCTCAGCAGGAAAACTGGTAAGATGAAGAAAGCCCAGGAGCTCTTAGGGAATGACTGATCAACACCACCTTCCTTAAGGGGCTAATGCAGAGTGGGAAGCTGGATGAGATGACTGTGAGACTGCCTCTAGCTTCACGCTGTGACGTCACGTGGACCAGTCAAAGTCTCACTTCCATCTATGTTCACGATGTGGAATGAGAGAAGCTCGAAGAGCCCAGCCTGTGTAAGCTAAGGAAGCCTCTTCTCTGAGAGGACCACCAGGCAGAGGGGGAACAGCGACAAAGACTGCTGACAGTGGTTCTTTTCCAGAACGCCTACCACCATGGGCTAGCCTCTTCTCCCTCGGCTGAGATACAAATGGTGCCCTCAATGCCCGAAACCCAGACCTAGCCAAATCTTTACTCCCACACCATGACTAAACTTCCTGGCTGCTATCGAAACCACAGCTTCCAGTGTGAATCTGCCCAAACGGATAGAAAGCTGCAGGAGGAAATAGAGCAAGCTTTCCCAGACCAGCAAAGGGGACTGGAGTGGCCTCTGGAACGGTCATACTCAAACCAACACAGATGGTAAAGAAATCAGCGAATGGCTTCGGAACCATCCAATATGATTTGAGAATATTCTAATGCTCTTTCTTGCAAGAACTAGAGATTTCTTTCTGGAAATTCACAACACTAGAACTGCACAGCAACCAGGGGGTAAAAAAGTACTGGCATGTTTGTTTGTTCTCTTTCATTCATTCATACTCTGTTGGCCTATCTCCCTGCCCCCCCAACTCTGATTATGGTCTAGCAAGTCCTTACACTTTCCCCAGGGATGGTTAAAAAAAAAATAGAAGGAACAAAAGGCTTAGGTTTCAGATCTCTTTCCCTTCCAGCTCCCGATGCGCTTGTGGCTGGCATGTGGGCAGAAAGCAGGTTTCTATGGAGATAATGATAAGCAAAGATTTAAGTGCTCAGAGTAGGTAATGTCAACAAGTTTGATCATGGAAAATCTGCGAGACTGATAGTCTGATGCTGACAGCACCTCTAGACTGGAAAGAGTAGAGAATGAAGAAGGACCTGTCAGGTGGGATAACACGGGCTTACCCTCCGTGCTGTCCCTCCCTCCCATGCCCATTCCATGGGATGTACTCACGTGGCCTCCTCAAACACACGCACTCTCTCACAGCCTTCTGGGGGCTCCCGTTTGAAGACATAGCTGTGATTGGGCCGAGGAGAGGCAGCAAAGGCAAGGACTGGAGATGGACTGCCATCTTCTAGGAAGGCTGGGTGGCCTGGAGAGGAGGCTACAAACACAACAGGGTTGAGTCAAGGGGGAGAGAGGAAAGCCTCCACTTTCCTAAGCTCCAGCCTTCTGTGCAAAGGGGCCACATAGCTCTGCTATTCGGCACATTTCATACTCTGCCATTGAGGATGGGGGTGTGGCTCAGCTGTAGAACACTTACAAAGGAGTAGGAGGCCATGGGTTCTATTCCTAGTACCACCACCAAAGGGACAAAAGTTGCTGAGTGATGGGAAAAGATTCCTTTCAATCCTGTATTCCCAGAAGCCAAGAGAGTGCCTGGATCTCTGACATGATGAAAACTACCTGCTATCCCTCTGACTTCTCCTGGGAGCAGTGCCCTGCCTGAGGAACACCGTAGCTTCATCCTGTCTGCATTTTAGAGCAGCTCTCCCCTCCTCGCAGAGAGTCCTCCCATATTAACTCCAAGTGGCAACCTTGATTCTACCCCACTTGGAGGATAAAATTTCTGTCACCTTCTGTCCTGTAACTGCACTTTGCCTAGGCTGCAAATATTGACTTTATCTGTGTTTCTCTTACATTTATTCCTCCTCATTCTGTGTTCTGTTTATTTCCCTGTGAATATTGTTAGATCGTGCCCTTGGCTAGCCTACCTCATGGGGTTAGTGTGAGCAGTGAGTCAGATGGTGTGGGCAACAGTACTTTCTAACATATGGTGTTAGTAGGATTCCTGCCTCATAGTCTAAGTAGACAGCCAAGGTGTGCATGGGAGAAACTAGGGATTCAGAGCCAGAAAGTTGAGATGTCAGTCTGGGTCAAACATGCAGGACGCTGAATAAGAGACTGCATTGTTTCATCTAATTTATAACTGCCTTGAAGTTCTTGCTGAATATGAGCCAAGGGGTCCCTTGAATGGAGATGCACCGACTTTCCACCTTGACCCTCACCCAAATAACAGGGATAGGAAAGGCTGCTCTTTTGGGTTAGAGACTTTATAATAGAAACCAGGAGTCAGAATGCTGTAGAGCCATTATTATTCCAGGTAGAGTGTGCGGAACGATGACTCACAAAGACACTGATTGGTTCATAATAACGTCAGGCCTGGAACTGTTCAGAGCAAAGGCCAGTGGAGCCCCCTTCCTATGGCCCAGAGCCAGATCTAGTACCTTGGCTTCATGATTTACCTTTGTCACTGGGGATGGATGTCAGCTCCTCAGTGGCACCCTGCTGCTCCTCACGGCTGGCCTGGCCAGGAGGCTGGGGGGATGCCAGTGGCACAGAGGGAGAGCTAGTCATGTTGCCTGGCTCCAGGAGGAGGAGGGGATGGTCACAGTTGTTATTCTGTGGAGGAGCTGGGGCACGGTGCCCATCAGGGACCTCAAGTATCTGATGAGGAAGGAGAAGAGACTCAATCCGGGGCCTTCTCAGCCTGTGACATTGCAGCGACACCCCAGGAGACTCCCTGCACCTTCTTTCTTAGCCTCAAGGATAAAAGACTGTCATTCTCAAGTCATTTGTTCCCTGACCTACCTTCAGTCTAGGACAAACTCTGTTTCTCCCAGAGCACTTTGTTCTTTCCTTGAGGCTTGTTAGTCCAATGTACAGTGACGTTCATTTGTGTGATGTAATCAGTGACCCTCTGTGTACGAGTCTCTTGGACACAAAGTTGATTGATACACAGGGTGACATAAGAGGGGCAAGGTACCAGAACAGCGCACATGCTATAAGCCACTGCAGAACAAATGTGCAGATGGTTATCATACAAACATTGAATACCTATCTCCCTCCTTTTAAAACATCTGATGGTATCTGGACCCCAGTGAACGAGTTGTGTGCATGTGTTTGAGGGCATATGAAATCCTACATATATCCAGTTTAAAAGGCAGCCACAAGTCAGGTGTGGTGGTTCATGCCTTTAGTGCCAGCACTTGGTAGGCAGAGAAGCAGGTGATTTCTGTGAGTTCAAGACCAGCCTGGCCTACATAGTGAGTTCCAGGACAGCCAGAGCTACATAGTAAAACCTGTCTCAAAAAATCAAAAAATAATAAATAAAATAAAACTCAGCCAGTGGGTAATTAACAAACTGAGGCCTGCATCCCTCAGAATAACGTTCCGTAATTGAACTGTATCAGAATGAAAGTGTGCCCAAGATTGCAAAGGAGGTAGCTGGTCTGTAGGGTGGGGGTCAGGCTGTAGATGTCCCCCGGGCATGAGACTGATCAATGCATGTCACCAGTAGAGACAGAGGGGTGGAAGCAGTGACTGAAGTGAGGTGGCACAAGCTGGGGCACACTCGGGTGAGGGTGCCCAGTCCTCAGGGACCGGTGCGCTGACGGTTTCCTCCTAGCTAGGGCCCTCCCCTGTGCTCATTTGTCATAGATAACCTCGACTGTCGGTTTTTTAGAAGTCAGAACCTCAGTGGAAACAATCTCTGGGCGTGTCTGTGAGGCATTCCTCAATTTGGCTAACTGAGGTGGGAAGAGCCACCGTAACTGCGCAAGGCACCATTCCCCAGGCAGGGGTCCCAGACTGAATAAAAAGTAAACTCAAACTGAACACAAGCACTCATTGCTCTCTGCTTCCTGGCCAAGGATGCAATGTGAGCTACACAGTGAGCTCCTGATAGAAAAAATAAATAAATAATAAATAACTACAGCCAGTAGGGAAATAACAAATGAGGCCTACACGCAGTATACCCAGTACCTAATTGAACTGTGTCAGTATAAGAACTGTCAGTCACACTATGAGGAACCCAAAAGGAGCATTTCCTTCCTTCACTGCTCTGTCGGATGTCTGTCACAGCAAAGGTAGATAACTGACATGCCTGTCCCCACGAGGCCTTCCCTAGCGACACCCTGCTACCCTTGCTGTTCTTGTGCTGAAGTCCATTTGCTTACTTCCGGAAGGTGGCGTTTACAGGTCATTGCTAACAGAGCTACAGCCTGAGAGGCCCAAAGAGTGACACTGTCACCTGCCCTCGTGCAGGTGCAGCCTGCCAGTACACTCGGCAGCCACCACTCACCCTCAGCAGCTCCTCTTCACCCTGCTCCTTCACAAACACCTCTTCCAGCTCCTGGTTGAGCCCTTCTAGACTTCTGTGCAGGCAAGGGCTGAGTCGCAGGACAGGGGATCCTGGGGGGAAGCTGGGAAGGGATGCCTAAGCAGAGACAAATGAAGCAATCACATCAAGTCCCCACTAAGTCCCTGGCAGTTTTCAGTTATGACCAGGGGTGCTAACTTTCTTAACCTTTTTTCTACATTGGGCGCGGGGTGTGGGTGGGGGGCTGTAATAGCTGCAAATTGCAACAAACACATTCAGAGGGGCTTTCTCCAGGACTGGAGTTTTGAGGCATCTAGGGGATGCTGTTCGTGTCGTTGCCTTAATTGCATGCGATTGGGGTAGAGGAAAAGGGCACTATGACCAGCGAGCGGCCCTTTCAATGCAACTTCTGACCGCAACACATTCATGCGGCTCAGTGCTACAAGGCTGGAGAGAACTCTGCACTCTGCACACTCTGCCTGCCAAGAAGGAAGACCAAGGGGGTCTGGTGGTCAGGGGAGACAGCATACCCTCACGGCTCCCCGTACAGCGTGGTCCCCTTGGACAGGGGAGCTCCGTTCCTTCTCCTTCCCACTGCGGCTCAGCTTTGTCCTCTGCAGCTGTTGCTTCAACTTGGTGATCTAGCAGCCAGAGACGGAGGAGAAAGGGAGGTGAGGCAAAGTATACCGGTTCTTTCCCCTAGTTGAAGCCCCTACCCATGAAGATACAAGAAAGGGACAGGGAGGTCAAGTTTTTAATTTCAAAACAGATCAATGGTGTGAAATCTCATGACAATCAGCTCCTCAACTAAGCTGAATACCCTGCTTCTAGACTTGATTTTTTTAATTGCCATGCATCCCTCTAGGTGAATCAGTCTCCAGACAGAAAACATCTAACATCATGGTTATGGATTGTAAGGGACACTTCCACTGAGATCACAGGGTACGCATGGTAGCACACGCCTTTAATTCCAGCAGAATTAATTGGGAGGCAGAAGCTGGTGGATCTCTATGAGTTCCAAGCCAGCATGGTCTACAGAGTTCCAGAACAGCCTGGCCTACATAGCAAGCTCCAGAACAGTTGGGGGTATGTAGAAAGACTCTGTCTCAAAAAATAAAAACAAAAACTGGCAATGGGTGGTCTCTGTTTTTCTATTTTTAAGAACCCTTTTCAGGAGGCTGGAGAGATGGCTTAGTGATTAAAAGCACTTGCCACTCGCTGCTCATGCTGTGGACCCGAGTTCAGTTCCTAGCAACCAAATGGTGGCTCACAACTATCCGTAACTTAGATTCCAGGGGACCCAATGCCCTCTTCTGAATGCTGTGGGCATCAGTCATGCATGTGGTACATAGACATACATGCAGGCAAAACATTCATACATATAAAATAAATTTAAAAATTTGTAAATGTTTTCAAGTGTTTTTTTTAATTGTGTGTATGTATGGGAATGTGTGTGCATGTGAGTGCAGGTGCTCATGGAGACCAGAAGCCCTGGATGTCCCTGGAGCTGGAGTTACACGGAGGGGGCTGTGAGCTGTCTGAAATGGATGCTAGGAACTGAACTCTGGTCCTTTGCAAGAGCAATGCACAATCTTAACTGCTGAGCTATCTCTCCAAACCGGCTGTTTTTCTTTTCTCTTTCACTAAGACAAGATATCATTCTGTATAGTGCAGACTGACTTGGAGCTCACAACTCTTCCTGCCTTAGCCTCCTGAGTGTTGGAACTATAGGCACGTGTCTCCATGCCTGGCTGAAAGTGGCATTCCGAGGGTCAATAATAATTTCTCAAATGATATTCTCAAGTATCCTAAAGGCTTTGAGACCAGAGAGTTTGGAAATCCAACCCTTCCCCTCATTTAAAAGTAAACTATACTACAGAAAGATAAGTTCTCTAGAAGAAGGACCACATTTCATCTGGACTCCCAGGCTCTATAACACTACAGGGTACCACTAACACTGTTTATAGTCACGGAGGAACAAGTCTACTGTGATTCCAGCACTTGGAAGGCTGAATCAGAATGTTCAGTTTAAGGTCAGCCTAGGCCTGTATTATCCTGCCCTCTCCCCCACAAAAAAAAAAAAAAAAAAAAAAAAAAACCCTAAACCAAACAAATTAGCCCACAAACACTTTTGAATATGATTGCTATTAGACTCGTAATTCTGGGCTTTGAACCCCTGAGCAGGATGCAGGGTTTGAATATGAATGGGAGGGAACCTGGTGGAATTCAGAAGGTAGATCTGCTGCCCACTGCCATAAAAGTTACAATGACAGTCAAGAAGAAACCGCTTTGTTAAGTTATTGTTTTAGATTTATCTAGTTTATCTGTATGAGTGTTTTGCCTGTATGCATGTTTGCCTGGTTTCCGGAGAGGTTAAAAGAGGGCAGTGGATTCTCCCCAAACTGGAGTTACTGATGGCTGTGTGTGACTGCATGGCCACTGGGAACAGAACTAGGGTCCTTGGAAAGAACTCTTAAGCTCTGAGCCATCGCTCGAGCCCCTAGGAAATGCTCTGTAATTACCCTGGTGGGGACTGAACCCAGGCTAAGCAGCGTTCTGGGCTGCATCTCCCAGCCCAAGAATGTGCTTTTCGACTTGTACCGTGGATCAACCAGACCATGAAGACCATGACTCCCCACCCTTCCTGTGCAGAATTTGTTTACTCTGCCATTCAAGGCTTTGAGAGCATTTTACATTTCCACTTGGCCTTGGGCTTGCGATCCTGTCACTTTCCGTTCTCTCAGTGCTCTAAGGAGAGCAGAAACCGCTTCCCTCTGACTGGAGCAGGGATGAGGCCTGGAAAATTGACCTTTTCTTTGGAGCTGCCACAAGACACTTGAGGTGGAGCTGGGTTAGCAGCCTTGGAATTCCAGCCTATGGTTTTCTCTCTCTGTCTCAATGCCTCGAGCCCTCCTGGGGCCTAAGGAGGGCCAAGACAAAGCATTCAGGATCTCAGGATTACTTTTTCTCTTCTCTTAAAAGAAAACTAGGCAGATGTTTAAGTAGTAAATGAGGCTGGGAGCTCCTGATTCCCAGGGGCTTGTTCCCTGCCTCCCTTCAGTCTCTGAATCACTTATCAGGGTCCACCCTCAATGAGACCAAGGCAAACAACTCTCCCTGTCTGGGTGCTAGAATCATCAGCAGCCACTGGCTGGGTTTTCTCTAGCAAGAGGGTCTGCGGTCCTACAACCAGGCCAACAGAAGGTTGGAAGTCAGTGAAAGAGCCATTTCCTCTGCAGGAGGCTGGCAGGAGGCAGAGAGACTGTAGTGTAGCTATCCTCATGGAAAACTGTCACACAGTGCCAGGAGACAGAGGTTGTGGAGAGAGGGCACTTACCTCTTTTCGATGGTCAGTACTGCCCCAGGACGCTGATCGCTTGTGCATGCAGAAGCTGGCCCGCTCACCTTCCGGCTCTTGCCAGGATAGGGGTGTCTGTAGAAAGACATGCAGTAAGACAGACAGCTCTGCGGGCAGGAAGCAGCCAGGCGGTTTCCTGGATAGAGGTGGTGGCCTATGAACCCTTCTCACATCTGTTCATCAACCTCATGGACACACCCATGCTTTATTCTTCCAGGCAAGGAAAGCCATGGGCATGGCCTCATCTCAATTTTCACTCTCCAGGAAACCTTCCCTAAGGCCCAACAGTGCCAACCCCCTCTCTCTTTTATTGTGTGTTTGGTACTGGGGATGAAACCCAGCGTCTTGCATATGCTAGGCAAGCGGTACCACTGAGCTACATCCTCAGCCTTCCCGTATCACTTTCCGTATCACTTTCTTTCATGTGTTACACTCGCAGTCAGTCTGTGTATATCCCAGTGGTGGGGCCAACTATGCAGTTGGGAGTGGGGCCGCTCCCAAGCAGCTTCAAAAGAGCCCTGCATCCTTTATTCTCACCCCCTGTGTGCCCAGCCAAGGCCAAGCGCATGGGAGTTCATCAAAAACAAGTCACCAGACAGGATTCCAAGAGGAACCAGGAGAAAGGTCTCCCTGGGTACCTCTGGATGAAGTAGGTGGCAACTGTGTAACATGTAGCCTCCAGCTTATTTCATCACCCAGAGGGAGTGTCGGGGACTCCAAAGTCCTCCTGAACAAGCAAGGAAAAGACAGTTTCAAAAAATGGAGCCAGAATTCTGAATGGCCTGCTCATGCCTATTCCCCACGGGCCTTCCTTGGTCCCCATGGGAAGAACTTTCTGTTTGCTGCCTTCCTTTCCCTGCTGCATGAAGACAGGGGATCCAAGACGGTGGTGGAGGAGCCCCCACTAAAGGAGGAAGCTCTTGGCTTCAAGCATGGTGCTCAAGAGGAAGGCCCAGATCCCCTCCCCATTACCAACATCCTACTTCCATTCCAGGAGAGGGGCCAAGGGGTGTGCCCCAGTGGGACCAACTCCTCTCTGACTACTGTGCACAGGCTGCCAAAGCCCAGGGCCTGGGAACCAGCTCCTCTAAGAGATCTGCTGACCTCCCCCAGGAGGCTGCTGCACACAGAGAGGGGGAGGATGGGGGAAAAACAAGACTCCTCACCACCCAACAGCTGCTAAGACGAGCTCACAGGGCAGTCTGAGCCAAGGCTGCCTTGTGCGACAGCTGCATGCAGAGAAGCCACTGCAGATGGAGCCTCTGGCCCTTCCTGTCTGCAACTGCCCTTAAGCAGGACCTTTACCAGGGCTATGCATCACAGCCAGGGCAGGACAACTGGCATCACCAGGGAACACATCCTCAGGCCCATTGCCACCATTCTTCCTTTATGAACAGGGAAGCCAGGAATGCAGGCAGGTACCCATAGCCCTCAGGTGAGGCTGGCTCTTACAAACCTGGGAACCAAGTAGCTGATCTCCCTCCAAATGTCCATGTCTCTCTAAATCAGGGTGTGAGACCTCAGAAGAGCAACACGGCCAAAAGGGAAGACATAGCCCATTTCTCCCTCGCTTGCTAAGACTCTGCAGATGCCTGCACGCCCACCTTGCCTGGGACGCCTACGCCAAGCTTGCAGGTCACCAGTGCTGCTAGTGCAACTGAGTCCCACGCCTCCTTCACCCCTGGAAATGGAGCAAAGAGCACAGAGGAGGGGTGGCAAACCAGAGGACAACGCTCAGTCCCTGCCTCTGAGAAGCAGGTGGTGGAAGAAGGGGAACCCTGGGTCAGCTTGCACCTGGCTACTAACACCTCTTCAAATGCTCCAACTCCCTTCTCCTAGGAGATGGGGAGGAGTCGGAGGGAAATGTGGACTGCCACAGGAGTGGGGGGAAGGATATGAAAACCATGGCGGTTGGGATCTCCTCTCCTCATCCGTTTCTCGCCTCTCTCTCCTCGGCAACCACGTTCCACCATGGCCTGCTCTGTGCAGATGTGATATTAAGGGCCTCACTTTATCTCAACATCTACCTGCCCAAAGGGATCGTTGCCCAACCCCTCCTCCCAGGTGCTCTCTGTCTTGCCCAGGCGAATTTTCAAGGACAGCCTGGGCTACACAATGAGTCCAAGGCCAACCTGGGTTCCTAGTAAGGACCCTACCACAAAAAGTAAAAGAAAAAAGAAGGCTTCTGGGAGCACTGCCCTGCCAATACTTTCATGTCGAGTCACTGCAACTGAACTCAGAGACTTCTGGAATCTAAAACTCTGAGAGAATACGCATCTGCTGTCCTAAGCCATGAAGCCTGGGGTAGCTGTTAAGCAGCCCAAGGAACCTAACAGAGCAGGGTGGCCCGGCTTCCAAGCTGCTTCCAGGCTGGTGTGAGTACTGTCAAGCCTGGCTTGTATCATGGCCTAGCTTCCTGCCTCGCTAACTGCAGTATGTCAAGTGGGGGAACTATGCCTCTGGTTACTCAGGAACAAAGGTCTAGATCATGGTCTCTTTGGGGGACAGTAAAGTCACAGCTAAGACCCATCTCAAGGAGGTCAGCAGGTAGGGTCAGGCCAAACTGTGGAACAGCAGGTGTACAGGGTCATTCTAGCCCCTTTGTATAAAGGCGAGTCCGGGAATCAAAGATTAGAAAGTCATGCTTTTCAGGGGACGCAGACACGAGAATGGACTTAGTCCACACCCTGGCTAAGGGAGCAGCTGAGTGAGGGGTAAACTTTGCTCACCACTAGTGGAGCTGCCAGCTGTGCAGCTGCACAGACTGTCAGAACTGGACATGCAGAGGTAGAATATGAATGCCTTGCCAGGGATTTAAAGATTCCAGGGCAACATGTGGAAGGACAGATGGGCATGGAGGTGGAAGACCGCTTCCCAAGGAGGTAGCAGAACAACAAAAGGAAGGAGGATGGAACTCTCCACACTGGAATGTCATTCTTGGCCTCCAAATCAGCTAAGTTTCTACCTGGAGGTCATGGCCTGAAGGGGAATAGTCCAGGCCCCCAACGTTCCCAGTGCCTTGGCTCCTGAACACACTCTAATGGCAGAGCTGGACCGGGTCTTAAGAGCATTACCCACTGTACCTACTGGAAGTGAAGAGCAGTGTGGGACCTGGCTGGAGAGAGATGGCTGGTCAGAAGCCACATGACGAGCTCAATTTGGCAAGCCAGTCCCTTAGGACTCGGGCCAAACAAAAAGTCTCTGGGGGTGGTCCACTGGCCAGCACTGAGAACTCTGGCTGCACTCGGCCCAAAGCCACCATTTCTAACTCAACAGTGACTAGACGACCCTCAGATTTTCCACCGTGGCTCCATTTTCAAGCATTTGCTATAGTGCAGTCAAACCATGTACTGAACCACTGGTCCTGGTCGCGAGTTTGGAAAACAGGCTCTGTGCCCAAGCCCTCACACCCACAAAGGAAAACAGTTTTTAAAGGCATGTGACGGTCACACTGAATTATGTGCCATCAGAGAGACCAAGGCTCTAGCTCAGGGACAGGGAGGACCCCTCACCCCCACCCCTGGCACCACAGGCAAGCAAAGACAGAGAGAAGTCCCCTCCAACCAGTAAACTGTCTCCACCTCTGGTCTTTAGGATGCTCTGTGAAGATGTCTGTTAAGGACTTAGGCTATTCCCCCCACACACACACACACCCCAAAGGATAAGTTAGAGCTATATGCAGGAGGGAGAATCACAAAGGCTTTCTGTCTTACCAATTAATGAAGCAGAAATGGGGATGGAAAGAAGCAGAGTGTGGGTGGAGCCAGGCAGGGCTGGTACCCAAGGTCCCTTCTGTGGGCAGGATGCCACCAGCTGGAGAATTTTGCTCAGACAGTCATCCCAGCTGTGGTAAGTCCACCTCCCCCCTCAGGAAAGTACAAGGCTTACATGCTTTGCACAGCAAGAAGGGAGAGAGGTGACCACAGCCACTGGCATGTGCTGCTATCTCTGGCCCTGGCCTGGGCCCAGCCACTAGAAGAGACCAACCCAAAGCACTTGGTGGCCAGCTCTGGGTTACCAAATGACCCGGGGGAAGGGTGGGCCACAGAGAAGAAAACACACTCAAATAAACCCAAGCCATTCTGAAAACCTCTTCTCAGACACAGGACTTCCCACAGAAAATGGAGATGCCACAGGGGTGGGGCTGGGGGAGTAACTTTCCATTCCTTCCTGGCCCCATCTCAGGAAGATAATGCTGGGGACTGCTGTTCACACCTTTCACATTGTTCCCGCAGGCTCGAAACATGCTGGGCTGGAAGGAGAGCTCAGGAGTAGAGCACATGGACCCTAGCATGTGCAGGCCCTGGATTCTATCCTCAGCACTGCAAAAGACACAAGCCGAAAAGCAGAGGACCCCTCCCCAGTTGTCAATCATGCCCCTTCACCTTCCTAGGGTAGCTGTTTCCTCAAGTAAGACCCTCCCATATCCCATGTGTTCCTCTTGCCTCAAATATGTGAGGAACCTAGCTATTGCTGCCCGAGGATGGGCTTCTTACTTGACTGAGGGCACAGAATGTGGCCAGGGGTTGCGGAGAACAATGTCATAGACACAAGTGCTGAGTGCATTTAATCTTCTGCCTTAAGCAGAGGACTGGAGTACCCAGTACACCCAGCTTTCTAATGGCAGATGTTCTGCGTCTGGGACCTAGCTCTGACATTGACTTGGAATGAGCAAGGCCCCTGGTCTCTCTAGGGGTTTCTGGGAAGGTGCTGCTTAGCCTCAGGCATAACTAAAATGCATGTCCCCAGGAGTGTTGGGTAAGATATGGCCTCCAACACAAGGCGTTTAGGCGCACCCAAGAGAACAGTAACAAGTACCTGCCAGTTAACTGAATGAAACAGACCATGAAATGCTGCACTGTTACAGGTAGGAGAGAAAGGGCCCAAGCGAGGGGAAAGGTAGGAATGGCTGGCTTGCTCGAAGCACCTGGGAAAGGTCTGGCATCCACCATTCCTAATGGCTGCAAAGCTTTTAATGCACTCAGGATGTGGCTCAGGGGTAGATTACTAGCCCTCACCTTGGGCTCTATCCCCCGCATCACAGAACTAACTAACTAACTAACTAACTAACTAACTAACGAACTAAGTAAGCTTTCAAAGACCTCTTAAAAGACCTAGCGTAGCATCCCTCCTTCTCTTTTCCCTTTCCCACACTCCCTGAAATTTTCTTCTTCATTCATCCTTTCTGGGTGATCTCTTGCTGTTTAGAAGGAAGTACAAGGTCTTCTGGGAAGATGGCAATTGAGCCCAAGGGTTTCACAGCATAACGCCCGTGCTAAAAATGGCAGCTTGTGCCAGGCTAGGGGCCTCGAGCAGGAATTTGAGTGGAGACCAAAGCCTAGAAGCAGAAAATTCCCTGAAGAGCAGGACTGGAAGACGGGCAGATCGCATACTTGGGGTTGGATGCTTATGCTGATCAGAATTCTCCCACCTCTTGCCTGCAGCCACAATATTGACAGGTTGCTAAGAGTTCCTCGAGGGCTGGAGCCCATCCCGGAGAAGAAGAAAGCTGAAGGACCGGGCCTTGCCAGACCCATGGAGGCACATCGCTGACCTCTGTCTTGCTGTGGCAAGAAGCCCAGACTTGTTATATAAAAGATCTGGCCTGCAGCTGGAGCTGAAGCAAAAACACGCAGTTGAGAACCCAGGCCACTCCACTTGGCCAGAGGACGTCTGAGGCCAGGCCTGCCTAAGGGTGACAGAGAAAGCTATGTGAGGAGTGGGATGGCTTTGCAGAAGGCTGGCAGACAGAAAGTGACAGAGGTGGGGATAAGTGGGCCACATAGCTGCTATCTAACAAAGGACGCTCATGAGTTCGCCTACTCGAAGCCACCTCAAGCCCCACTCCTGCAGGAAGCCCTCCCGGATTAAGTACATCATCTGGCCTGAGCCAAAGAGAAAGGAGTGTGTCCTCCTAGTTCCATGAGGGAGAAGCATAACCTACCTCGTCATAGGACAAAGGGGGAGTAGTGCTGGACTCCTCTCCCCTCCCCTGCACATCTGACGAGGACCACTGACGTCACTTTACAGGCTTAAACTTGTTTCAATTATTTTGATGAAACATGGGGCATTTCTGGGAGAATTCTGCTCCTCCAAACTTTGCCAGACACCCACCCCATGGCATCCCTTGGCTGTTTGTTCACTGGCCTTCAGGGAACTGGAAACCAGGCTCAGAGAAACCAAATCTTGTTCCCACTGAAAAGGAGTGCACATTCAAACATTCATTAATACCACTTGAAAACGGATCTCACGAAAGGAAAGGAACCAATGGGACGTGCTGAGAAGGACGCAGAGTAGGTTGCATGGGAAGCGGGCTCCGTATCCCTTGGCCATCATGTAGCACGTACGTGGGCAGACGATACACGCATAGAAAGAGCTGCCACACCCCGTCTTGTCCTGGTACTCAGAATGGAGGGATGGAGGGTGTTCTTTTCCTGCATTTCCACCTATCAAAGAACAACTCGGTCGTTTTGATGTTTAGCAGGACTCAGCCTAAGCGGCCCATAGCGAGAGCCTTGCTCTCACCAACTTAACTGCTAAGAAGACTGAAGTCCTGAGTCAGACTGAGAAATCTCTTTGGGTAATTTCCAGATAAGATGGCTTCTTGCTCAGGCTAACACTGTCTTATCCAAAGGATGGACACATGAACCAGGCAGTGATGGCGCATGCTTTTAATCCCAGCACTTGTGAGGCAGAGGCTGGTGGATCTCTTTGAGTTTGAGTCCAGCCTGGTCTACAGAGCAAGTTCCAGAACAGTCAGGGCTACACAGAGAAACCCTGTCTTGGAAAAAAAACAAAAAAGAAAAACCGGTGGACACACGAACCGGATGGTCTGTGGAGGTCCTTCTAAGGACACGACTCTTCATGAAAATCCAGGAGAGAAAGCTGGGCTCCGCAAGTCTCAGAGGGGTGCTCCAGAGCCTTTGTCAGGCTGCTGGCAAGACGTAGCTCCTCACAAGAATGCCCTACTCTGATTGCTCCAATGGGATGAGACCTGGCTCAATACCTCTTTGACCACTTCCTGGGCTGCTTGGGGAATGCAAACTGGACTGAATGTTGGCTTTAACTTAACTTCATGAAGGCAAAACTCATTTAAAAAAGTCCCAAATTCCAAGTCGGGCGGTGGCGGCACATGCCTTTAATTCCAGCACTCAGGAGGCAGAGGCAGGCGGATCTCTGTGAGTTTACAAGAGCTAGTTCCAGGATACCAGGACAGGCTTCAAAGCTACAGAGAAACCCTGTCTCAGAAAAAAGAAAAAAAAAAAAAAAAAGCCCAAATTCCAAAGTTGGCTGTGGAGTCCCCACATGTAAAATCCCCCCTGAAAGCCAAACTGAAAATCCAGCTTGACAGTTCTCTTCCCCAGGCAGGTGGGATGCAAACTCTTTTTCACCTGCATGTACAAAGAAAAACAACAGCAATAACAAAATCTCTGGTAAACAGTAGAAGATGAGAAGCATCTGTGAACAACCAAAACCCAGGACAATTCATTTCAATGACAGAACTCAGGAGTAATGGACCAGAGGCCCCCTTGCCAGCCCTCCTACCCCTCTTGATCCCATTAGGCGACAGCGGCATTACCTGGGTGGCCTTGTCATTGGTACAGCAGGTGAAGGCCCCATCAGCATCTCGTGGCCACTGGCCCAGAAGGTAGGAACTGAGGACGGTGTCCAGGGAGAAAGTACGCCGAACCTGGGGTGGCTGAGGCCTACACACTGACTTTTCTGGGGCCACCGAACATGGGACACTGGCTGAAAGAGAGCACAGCCCGCAACCCCTTGACATCAGCATGGAGGAAGGAGTCATGGTAACCAGCCTCCTCTCTTGCAGGACACCTCACCTGCAGGCCATGTCTTCACGCCCCTCTCCCCCCCGAAAGAATTCAAAGCAGCAAAGGTACATCCTGTCTGAACAGCTTTCCTAACTTCACTTTAGTGATTGCCACCATTTCACATTGGAATTAGAGGTTATGTTTTGTATGTTTGCTTGCTTGCTTTTTTGCTTGTTTTGAGACAGGGTTTCTCTTTGTAGCCCTGGCTGTCCTGGAACTAGCTCTTGTAGACCAGTCTGGCCTCCAACTCACAGAAATCCACCTGCCTCTGCCTCCCAACTGCTGGGATTAAAAGCATGAACCACCATGCCTAGCTTTAGAAATTATTTTAGACTCTGAGCCCGTAACTTCCAAGTCTCCATACAGAGACTCTGTGGAGGAGCACTGTTCCCCAGCCTTTTAGGAAACCCCATGTTCACAAAAATCAAGCTTTCTTATTTTCCGCCCTCCTTCTTCACCCCTGTATCCATTTTAGGGCTTTTGCACTGCACAAACTTGGCTCAATTCATTTTTAAAAAATATATTTTCTTCTTTTTGTACAGCTGGGGACTGGCTCCAGAGCCTGATACCGGATAAGAAGCATTCTGCCACCAAATTGTATTCCACAATTTCATTTTTCCCTCATTTTTTTGAGATAGCATCTTGCTACGTTGCCCAGGATAGCCTTGAATTGGCTATGGAGCCCAGGCCCACCCTAAACTTTCAATCCTTCTGCCTCTGTCTCCTGAATAGCTGGGATTACAGGTGTGTACCACCATGCCCAGCATGAAGGAGTCTTCCTATTTGCTTCAGTCCAGCAGTTTCAGCAGGGCCTGGAAAGAACCACAGAACTCCAAGAAGAGGAATCCAGTTTAGGAAACTATCCAAGTCTGCAGGTCTTTTTCTCCCACTTCTTTGCCTCTTATCTGAATGCCAAAAATAAAAAAGGGGGGGCAATTATAAATGCATTCATTTCATTTTACACTGGTTAAAGATTTCTGGGAGAAATTAAAAGTTGAAACTGTTTTTAAAACGTAAGGGTTCTGGAATCATCTGGAAGTTTCAGTGATCTGGGTTGACCCTGTTTTCCATGGCCACGTTCAAAACATTCCACTATCTGTAGATCTATAAAGAGTCCCCTTTAAACAGAGCAGAGCGCTTTCACATCTGTAGTAATCCCTTGGTAATTTATGTGTATATTCAGCACAGCAGAGAGAACTAGTAACTCTAGGTATAAATAGACTTGAAGAGGTTTATATTAAAGAGACACAAAACGATTGGCAGTTCCTCAAAAAATTAAACAGAGAATTCCCTGAGGGTCCAGAAATTCAACCTCGATATTCCCCTCAAAACCTAAAAACAAACCTGAAAGCAGAGATTTGAAAAACTATTCATACACCCATCATCATCGCAGCACCAATTATAATAGCCCCACACCGGAGGCAACCTGTACTACAGCAATGAGGGTGCAAGGCGCAGTAACTCGGACACAGACAAGCAGGCAAATGCCGGATGATTCTGTCTCCAAGAGGCATCTGGAATAGGCAAATCCATGGGGACTGAGGGAGACAGAGGTGACCACGGGCACAGGAAGAGGGGGAATGGGAGTTATTGTTAACAAATATCGACTGTCTGGGATAATAAACAATTCTAGAAATGATATGGTGATTACTACACTGTAAATGTCCTGATGCCATTGAATCATAAGCTTAAGATGTGTAAAGTGGCCAATTATACATTGTTTGTTACCATAGTTAAAAAAAAAAAAAGACACCAACAATGTCACATTCTTCAAATTAAGTATTTACATATATTTTGAAAGGCTTGTAATCAATATAAACTATCCTATGTTATATTATATTTTACCTTATTCCAGTCACTATAAAATCCCAATTCAAAGTATCAATGACCTACATATTTGCCATTTTTTTTTTTTTTTTTTTTTTTGTTTGTTTGTTTGTTTTTTGAGACAGGGTTTCTCTGTGGTTTTGGAGCCTGTCCTGGAACTAGCTCTTGTAGACCAGGCTGGTCTCGAACTCACAGAGATCCGCCTGCCTCTGCCTCCCTGAGTGCTTGGATTAAAGGCTTGTGCCACCACCGCCCGGCCCATATTTGCCATTTTTAAAGACTGTATGATATCAAACAGTAATTTCCCTAACCTTTTTTTTTTTTTTTTTGGTTTTTCAAGACAATTGTTTTTCAGAAGCTATGAAGCCAATTCTGGAATTTGCTCTGTAGATCAGGCTGGCCTTAAACTCAGAGATCTGCCTGCCTCTGCCTTCCAAGTGCTAAAATTAAAGGTGTGAGCCACCACTGCCCGGTTTTAACCATTCCTATATTACTGAACATTCTTCCTCTCTAATATGGAGCTCATCAATGTTAGTACAAAACCAACTTTATCCTTAGTTTTTAATTTGACTTTTGTAATATTTCTAGGTCAACTCCCTTGGCCAGAAAATAAGTACTCACTTAGAAGAACTTTTAATGACAAAAGTTGTAAGTATGATTTGTCGAAAAGTCAAGAAATGTATACATCAAACAAGATACCAAAACAAAACCTCAGTCTCAATCTCATCACTCAGAGATAATCACTGTCAATATCATGATATACTGGTGGGTATAATGGCACACACCTTGTATCCCAGCACTCTGGAGGCAGATCTCTGAAATCTGAGGCCAGTCTGGTTTACACAGTGAGTTCTAGGCTAGCCAGGGCTACATAGAGAAACCCATCTTAAAACAAACAAACAAACAAAAAACCGGTATCATCACTTCATCGTGCAATCCTTACCTTCCAAATGTGGACACACATTCATTCTAAAGTTGGAAAATGGGCCAGGCACCAGGAGATGGTGGCTTTAATCCAGCACTCAGGAAGCAAGGGCAAACTGATCTCTGGGAGTTCAAGGCCAGCCTGGTCTATATCGTGAGTTCTAGATCTGATGGAGGAAATGATGATCTGTCTATGTGTTACTTTCATTGGTTAATAAAGAAACTGCCTTGGCTTCTTGATAGGGCAGGATTTAGATAGGTGGAGTAGACAGAACAGAATGCTGGGAAGAAGGGAAGCGAGGTCAGACGCCATGGATCCAGCCACCAGGTCAGACATGCTGAATCTTTCCCGATAAGCAACCACTTCGTGGTGCTACAAAGATTATTAGAAATGGGTTAAGCAATATGTGAGAATTAGCCAATAAGTTGCTGAAACTAATGGGCCAGGCAGTGTTTAAATGAATACAATTTGTGTGTTGTTATTTCAGGTGTAAAGCTAACCAGGTAGCCGTGAGCTGGGCAGCAGGAAGCGGCCCACTGCTCCTTCTACATAGATCAGCCAGGGCTACATGGTAAAACCCTTCCACTAACTAACTAACTAACTAACTAACTAACTAACTAACTGATTAATAATGGAAGCACATCATAATACTGTTTGGCTGTTTCTACCTCCTTTCCAAATCAAGAATTCTGATTACAACATACTTTTGCAGGGAGGTTATTTTGTTGGTGTTTTTAAAGCATGGTTCTGTTTAACAGCTTTGGCTATACTTGAACTCACAGAGATCCGACTCCCTCTGCCTCCCGAGTGCTGGGATTAAAGGCATGAGCCACCATAGTCCTATCATTTTCTGCCTCCCGAGTGCTGGGATTAAAGGCATGAGCCACCATAGTCCTATCATTTTTGGTTTCTGAGACAGTATCTCACTACAGCACCCAGGCTAGCCATGAATGTTTAACGGCATGCACCACCACCACCGCCTGGCATTTTTGGCTTTTTGAACTGTTCTCTTTATATAGCCTAACCAGGCCTTAAACTTGCACTCTGCCTGTCCCCAGCTCCTAAGGATTAGAACTAGAGGCATTTATCACCATGTCTGGCAATACATTATTTGAAAAGATCATGTAACATCTCTACGCTAAAATTCTCCAAAGGTCCTTTCAAAGCTGGAAGTTGGGAGCCTGCAAGATGACTCAGAGGGAAAAGGCACCTGATGCCAAGCCTAAAGGCCTTAGTTTGATGCCCAGGACTCATAGGTGGAAAGAAAGGACCAACTCCTGAAAGTTGTCCAGGTTGTCCTCTGACCTCCAGCCATGGCTGTGAATATGTGTACCTTACACACACACACACACACACACACACACACACACACACACACACACGGTGTCGAAGGCCCCATGTGTGGCCCACCTCATCCCAGATGTGGTGCGCTGTACCATTTCCCACAGCTGACCTGGCTGTCTCTCCTCGGCCTGGTGTTGAAATCTGAGCTATTTGCCAGGCCAGCCTAACTGCTTCCACCTCCTCCCCATCCTCCAGATCCTGGGAATCCCCTGCAAGGAGTGTCTCAGAATGTCTTGTGTTTGCTCCGTATATTTTGTACTCTTCCCGTACTTGCTGGTCTCTCTCTTGACTCGCAGGTATTTGTGACCCCTAGATAATGAATAGCCAGTGAGGTCAGGCCTGGCTTATCTTTGTAGCCCCCTGTGGCTACAGCATAGAGCTGGCAGTTGGCAAGAACCCAAGTACTTGAATAAAACTGAAAAACCTATAGTAGAAAGATAAAGCTTCTATAATTACATCAGTGAATCTATACAGATCCCAGGCCAGCGCTCACCTTGAGTAAAGACCCCATAGCCACTTGTCTATCTGTCCCCCTCGGAGGCTCTGGAGGCTCTGGATAGCTAACCCTCTTCCTTTAGTTCCCTGTGACCTCGTTACTGCAGTAAGTTAGTGACAGGCCACTAGTTCAAGCCTCAAGTTCTCCTTCCATACAAGCGATTCAATTTCAATTCTGCACTGGGCTTAAGATGTAAAGTGGTAATTCAAATATTTCTGGGGGCTTCTGGTCTACAACAGAAACTAGCACAGACACTGAAATGCTGTCCTATAGCCCTCCGTTAAGACTGTCCCTCACAGCCCAGTGAGAAGGCAGGGCCCCTAGACGG